CATTCCGCTTTGTCTCCCAGCCAACACTACAGTATGCATGCGCACATGCCGCCTGAAAGCATCTGCGAGCGTGATTGCTTGCAAGACCGCTTGCTGCAACACGTCCGCCTTGCGCCGCTAGATTGGAGTAATAAATAGACTGATGCCAACAGAGGATGTTCAGCATTGGGGAGAGCTACCCGGAAGCTCTGTGTTACCGTGATCATAGGCTTGAGGACATTTCTTTGATATACTGTACTTTTAATAAGCCGTGATAAAATGTTCAATAATGAAACGTCTCAAATCCAATCTAATGCATTCACAGATGAAAGGTGAGCCGTGATAAAATGTTCAATAATGAAACTCAAATCCAATCTAATGCATTCACAGATGAAAGGTTTACAAAATTCCAGTGGTTATGAGTCATTGTGGATGACTCCGCCGCTGCTGGAAGTCCCAAAATGTGGTAAATGATTTACAAATCTATCCTTGCCCAATTCCCCTGCAAGGCAAATTCACAAGACTTCAAACAACCGTGTCTCCGCTCTGCAGGGAGCAACACAGAAGTCGCATATGGACAGGCACAGTATGTACTCCAATCTGGATCAATGCAGAAAGACAATGGACACTGTTAAACCTGGCAGTATTTCACCATTGGCGGGAGGGCCACAGTCAACATAGGGAATGAATGCAAATCTTTGTGTGTGTGTGTGTGTGTGTGTGTGTGTGTGTGTGTGTGTGTGTGTGTGTGTGTTTGTGTGTGGTCAACACAGAGTTTGACCAAACAATGTCATTGACGGTAAACGGAATGCTAGGCACGAGTTTGCAACCACAATGTTGTTTGTTACCTGTGGAGGCCTCAAAATGAATCCGTTTGACAACTCATCAATCATCAAATTCACGGACAGCTATTTTAATCTTCAAGTAATCGTTTGAAGCCGTGAATTTAAAATTGCCCAATTCGTCTAATTTCAGCCGTCAACATGAATTATTCTCCGATTTCTGTAGTCCTAGTGATTAAAATTTTTTCCCTCTCCTGTTCGCGAAGAGGGAAAAAAAATTGTCCAACTGGTACATACTGGCACACAGCGCATCGATTGGTCAATGGAAGCACTGGCTCGTCAATTTTCCGTTCGTGGCAGGCTCAGACATCCTTGCCTTACTTTTGGTCAAGAGGAGCAAAAATTCGGAGTCAAATTCCCTCTGCTTCTGAGAATTACTTTTTTGAGAGAATTACATTTGAGAAAAAAAATAAAACAAAAAAATCTCAACAAAATGGAGGAAATAACTCCAAATGTCCGGCACAGAGGACAACACTTAAATAGTAGACTTAAATACAGTTAAATTAATTCCGACATCATCTCAATAGGTTCCAATGAGACTCGCAGAAAATGTGCTCACAGCATTTCAAGCCAAAACCTGCTCAATAAATAGTATTTTACACTTACTTTTCCTCTTCCCACAAAGGTGCTTGCACTGAGAACCCATTTTCTTTTATGATGTAATCAAAGGGACCTCGGCCACACCCCTTCATATTTGTCCTCTTTGAAAAAAATCCCAAAATGTCCACTGCGGTACACAACGAGACGCTTGTATCTGATTGATGGGAGATATTGACAAATGTCCTTCACAGAGGACAAATGCTTAATTCCGGTTTAGTTGGTGTTTTTAACCAATACCAAATATGTCAACAACAATAATTGTCTAATGAACAGTTATCTGGAAAAAAAAGGTCTTTGGATTTCTCACTCTGCTGAGGAAAATTCTCCGTTAAAAAAAAAAAAAAAAAAAAAAAGAAGGCTGTTGTCCTCTAATCGACTGTAAAAGAGAAAAGCCTCGCTTACATTCCGATGACCTCACTCTTTGACTCACACGCGCACGCAAAGCTTGTCCCCAGTCTTTAAACAACCTCCATGCTGAGGTAAACTGTCCACTGAGAAATGAACAAGATGTACAAACACACTGACATTTACCTTTTGGTTCTGGCAGCAGCCCCCCCCCCCCGCCCCCCAAACGTACTATTTTACCTAAACATTTTAGAACATGTTATCTGTTAACATTTAATACACTTGAAACGCAGGCAGAGAACTTAAAACCAAAGAGAGCAAACCGCAATGCTACGGGAAATGTTTGATGTAACATTTGAGCATTCCTGGCTGTCACACAAACGTAAATAGACATTGACCAGTGAAAAATCTAACTCAAATGAAGTCAGATGAGTCACACAGAACATACAAATGTAATAAAAAAGGCCACAGACAACACCAAACCCGTGTAAGGAACTGCTTTCTGCTCAGAGTGATTTGTTGAACAGGGGATGGAAAAAAAAAAGGGTTGAATTTGGTGGGATGCTACGTTGTTTTTGTAGTTTGACGGCATCAAGAACTCACCATTCTTACGTTCCTGCAGCCGCAGCTCCTTTGCAGCAGGCTGCAGGGACAGCTCCTGGAGCTCGCTGGTCACTGCCTCGCTTTGCGGGCTGTGGGTGGAAACACCCGCCCCCGTGACTTCCATGCTGTCGGCTTGTGGCTGCAGCATTGTCAGGGCGGCGTGAAGACCTGAAACCAAATACACTTTTATATTGAAATTACATCCCAATTGCATGTTATTCATGGCATATTAAGGCAACAACTGCCTATAAATAAAATCAGAATGCGCTCTGAATATTACTGGCCAGCACAGTAGAAAACACAGAAGTATTTTTTTTTAATATTGGCGAAAAAAAAGCTTGATTTCAGTCATGCTCGTGCACACACGCTTCCTAGACGTCTTAACATGGACGACGAGCAGACAGAGGGAAAGACAAGTGCAGCAACATATTTTCGATTTCAAGCATCAAGATCAGGAGCGAGAGGTTCCAGCTTGCTGAGTCATGAGCGGGAATCAGGCTTACCAGATTCACTTTATCTTAAAAGGGTGTGCTCCCATTCCAGCAGGTTACATCTGTTGAAGAAGATCAAAGAGACAAAAAGCATTCTTCAATACTTATGGCCATCATCTTACTCCGATCCTACATTACTGGGCGTCCAAAATTTTCTTGCCGAGGTACCCCACAGGATGGTACCATTCTCCCTCAGCGGGGATTGATCACCAACACCCCTGTGCCCGAAATCAGCTGTGCTACTCATCCACCACACATATACACACACACACACACACACACACACACACACACACACACACACGTTGGATGTTTTATTTTATGACTCCATGCTTTAACTTGGGCACACTAACTTCATCCTCCATTGCAGCCAGGTCATCATAAAATGAGAAACTGCTTAAAAAACGTTAACCCACTCCATGAGATGCTGTAAGAAGTTGAAATACTGGACATCATATGAAACTTCAGAAAAAGTCACGGTTCTGACTTCCAAATTTAAATCTAATCCGGAGGACTTGTCGATGACATACAGATGTGGTTCATGACCAGCCAACGTTATATGCACATGAGCTGGTGGTACGCTGGACGTCATATGTTGTGGATGCAGTCCAATGCTCATTGTTTTGCCCCAGACTGCACCGCTCCAGCACTAATTCATCATCATCATCATGAAAATAGTTGATGCGTGTACATACGGGTACAGTGCATCATGTATGTGCATGTTTAGCTGTCACCTGTTTACTTTAATATTACCGGTACAGCAATGTATGAAGATATTTGTAAGCATTTAAAATGCTGTGAACAGAGTTTTGGGATCATAGTTTGTTGTATAGATATGGTTTAAACAATTATGATCCCTTTTAGTGTTAAATACACACATCATCACTGAAGATGCTTTTGTAATACACGTTTTGAATCGTAGAGAGACTTTTTATTTTTAAAAAAATCTTTATGGCGACCACATTAATCAACCAACTGTCCGAAATGATTCCCAAAGCAGTGGCCGTGAAATATTTGACAAGTGTTCGCTCAAGAGTCCACGTTGCAGGAGGCCTGTCCGTAGTTGTCATGGGCGAGCAACAAGCCTACAGCTGTCACTGACCAAAACAGACACACGAGCTACGCTATTGTTAGCTTGCCGGGTGGGAGTGAACCCCAGCTAACCAAAGACAAACCAGACGACAACACACACAAGTATCATAACAATTCATGTGTAGCATCAGTATAACAACTATGCACGAGAAAAAAACACCGTCTGATGATGAAACCGGTTAGGCGTCCACGCTCGCTTCACTGATCCAGCCCAAGTTAGCAAAACCAGATTAGCATGCCACCGCACACTGCCACTAATTCCTAGCTAACTCCCTGGTTACTGCTCGCGTCTATCACGCAGTGGTTTTCGAGATGACGCACTATTTAACGCCGTAATTGCGGTGTATCAAATATGTCATGACTCTTACTCATCATGCTCGCTAGTGGTATGTTTTCGCCTGCGACGATACAGTTCTTGACACCCCGGCCGCTGCACTTCCTGATGACAAAGAAACTTTAACCGGAAAACCCTCCTCTATGTGGTGGAACTCTTCAAAACGTCTCTCCTGCTGAATTGTCGCCACTGTTCTGTGGGACTATAATATTCTGTTGCCATGAACGCACATTAAAAAAATATACGATTCGCTATGCTAAATTTTATTGCAAACGTGGTTAATGTAATTTGAACACATGTGAAGGAAGCAGATATTTGCTTCAAGCTATTTGCTTCCGCCTAGTGTCACATAAATGTATTGCAGGTACTGAACTGAGCGTCAGGGTGGCAAACAACGGCCCAGTGGTGCTTTAAAATACGAATGACGAAATTTACGGCTATTTTTTTTTTCGCAAAACGAGCCGTCATTCGGCTGATTTGCTTTGACTTCTGCACACTTGTTTGTCTGTTTATTGAACACACACAAGTACATTTTTCAAGATGGGGATTCTAATGGGTATGAGGATATCATATCAAATGCACTTCACTACGATAGTGACGCCATACCATCGTTTTCGTGTGATATCGTCGGTGATTATTGTACAAAAATTATTTTTGTTTTGCCGGTAAATATTACGGCAACTGAAGAGGGTCAATCTGACTTACGCTTCTTCCGGTTTCTGCTGTCAACAGTGAGCTAGCTACTCAGTCAAGTCAGCAGCACCGCTGCGGAGCTACGACGATGTCAGAGCAGGAGTCCCTGAGGTGCTCCAGTGGCAGAAACCGCGGCGGCGTTCAGAGGGTCGAAGGCAAACTGCGAGCCAGCGTAGAAAAGGGTGATTACTATGAAGCACACCAGATGTATAGGACGTTATTTTTTAGGTAAGATTTCACTATCAGGTTCTAGTTTGCAGTTGGTAACTCCTCGAGGCCTGCTGTGTTCCAGATCTCTCCGCTGTAAAACTGCTTGTATAATTCCCGAATCTGATTGGGGAAATATCATTACGGTCCCGCCCATCCAAGTTGGTCCGGCCGTTTGTTTGGACAATGGAGCTGTCAATTAACTACGGTCTGAAAATGTACTGCTAGCGAAGTGCTTAGTAGTAGCGTCGCTCCGTGTACAAGAACGAAACAATGGAAGTTTCAATGTGGACTGACTACACAAGACAGCAATATCATAAACGACGATGTGTTATGAGTTTAAAAATGCTATATGTTGAGATCATTACCGCGTATAAAGCAATTTGCGGTTACTCTCCAGATGTGCTAATAGCTAGCCAGGTAGCCGTCTGGAGTGTGTTACCTTGCATAACATTCTCCAACATTTTACATTGAACATGTAATAATTTTGTGTATACAGTATGGAGACACAACTGAAATACAGTTGCAGTTTGTTGATGGTTTGCACATAATTCCAGCTGCTAAACCGATAGACAAGTACCCACCGTCTCCGTTATTGTTCAGTTACTGTAACAAACAGTTTTATTGCCATTGCAAAATTTATAGTCATTCCTGGAAACCCAAACTCACATCAAATTGTTTAGGGAAGAAGAGCTTCCCAACTATCACCCTGTTCCTTTTCCTTAAGTGCATTATTGGCAACCATTCTTGTGGGCCACAAGGAGAACACGGGCATGGGCTAATCTTGAGCTTGTTGTACAGACTGTTCGTGCCCTACATATTGGTACAGGTGACTCTCTTGCCTGTCAACAGGTACATGTCACAGGCAAAACACAGTGAAGCCAGGGAGCTGATGTACAATGGCGCCCTACTCTTCTTCAGCTATAACCAGGTAAATACAATCCAAGATGGCCTTTTTTTGATTGGTGTCACTTTTTAAAAAGTTTGGTTTGCAGCCCTTACCCTAGTATGTGCTTTGTACTTTCTGCAGTTGAGTAAGTGGGCGTTGGCCACTATTATATGAAAATGTGGCATTTTACTGATGACAGTTTAGTTTGCTGTGCTTCCCTGTGCAGCAAAACAGTGCAGCAGATCTGTCCATGCTGGTGCTTGAGGTGCTGGAGAAGTCAGAGAGTAAAGTGGAAGAGGATATTTTAGGTGAGTGTTGAACTCACCCAACAAATGGAGACATTCTGTCCCGTGCCTTCGGTTGTCGTTGATGCTCTCGCGTTTGGCGAGCAGAAAGCCTGGCCAAGCTGTTCAGCCACATGGATCAAAACTCTCCGGAAAGAGTAGCCTTCGTGTCCAGAGCCTTAAAATGGTCCACGGGAGGTTCTAGCAAATTGGGGAACCCGAAGCTACACCAGCTATTGGCTGTCACCCTGTGGAAAGGTATATCAGCCATAATGAATTCAAATGGGGGGGAAAAAAATCCAACTTGTCTAAAGCAACCAGCCATGTCTCCAAAACGAATATCAACTGATATCTTTTATATTTTTTCTAGAGCAAAACTATAGCGAATCTCGTTACCACTTCCTGCATTCCTCTGACGGGGAGGGCTGTGCGCAGATGCTGGTGGAGTATTCGTCCTCCCGAGGTTTCCGAAGCGAGGTCGACATGTTTGTGGCCCAGGCAGTCCTACAGTGAGTATGCGTCCATAAAACAGTGTAGTGTAGTTGAAAAATCATCTGCGCATAGAAATTGTTGACCAACCTTTTCCATTTGACAGGTTCCTCTGCCTAAAGAACAAAAACAGCGCTTCCGTAGTGTTCAGCACGTACACAGAGAAACATCCGTCCATAGAGAGGGGTCCTCCATTTGTGCAGCCCCTTCTTAACTTTATTTGGTTTTTGCTGCTGGCAGTGGATGGGTGAGAAAACGCATATATTAAAAAAAAAAACTGTTGTCTCAAAAAGATGGCATGTCATTGATTCATTATTTTCCTTTTCTGTCTGTTTAGGGGTAAATTAACAGTTTTCACGGTGTTATGTGAGCAATATCAACCTTCCCTCAAAAGGGATCCCATGTATAATGAGGTGAGTACGCCACAGTTGTTTGGTAGCATTTTGTGAAGCTGTCGGCAAATAAGTGAGGTTTTGTAGCAAATAATGGAACGTGCATTCCCCACAAAAAATCTGCAAATAGGTGAATTACAACATCTGTGAGGCTTCACCTCACCTCATAGTGTTTCTTGTGTCTTTGTCTCCTTTCTGGACATCTCCAGTACCTCGACAGAATAGGGCAACTTTTCTTCGGCGTTCCCCCCAAACAATCTCCGTCGTACGGTGGCCTACTTGGTAAGTGAGCCAAAGACCCCAAGACTGTGCCTCGTCTTTGCAAAATGACTTCACGAAATTGCCGTCCGTTGTAGGAAACTTGTTGAACAGCCTGATGGGAGCGGGCGAGGACGACGACGGCGTCGAGGAGGCCCAGGAGGTCAGCAACCCCATCGAGCTGGATTGAGCCAACGGCTGAGGGAGCGAAGAGCAAAAGAGGACACACCCTCGGAAATACACACACACACACACACACATACACACAAGAATGGGGAAGACCACGCCACCTCCACCATTAGTGGGTGAGGCGAGGCAGCAATTCTTACACTTGCTCCAAGGAATGGGTACCTTTCACAATTGAACTGGTTCGGTACCAGCAATCGATAGTGGCACTCAACGTTCGCAATTTTGATGGTGATAAGTGTTAATTTATTTCAGAATAAAATCTCAAATGTTCCACTTGTCACTGAATAAACTTTGACAAATAAGAAAACAACATCATAACTTTTAAAACAAATGAGCCATTTTCGGTACCCATCCCTACTTCCTACCGTTCAATAATTTCAGCCATCCAGTCCTAAAATGTACTGGACTGCCTGCAGCTGCAGTAAAATATTTTATTTAATCATTACTTTGGGCTGTGTTCTGAGTTTTGGTTTCGAGGCATTCTTCGACAGCATTGTTGACATGACGTTCCCTCCCTCCAGTGTTGCTTTCTTACATTGTCACCATGAGGTGTCAATCTATTCCCGTTGTCAGCATTTTTTTCCCCACCCTTAATTCAGATGTCTGAGTAGTTATTGTAGTCAAGAGCACTTCTCATTTTCTCATCTGACCTTTTGTCCATCAGCCAAATCTAGAATTGCTGGAAAATATTGTGTGAGGTGGTAGGAAAAAGCATTGTTACCCCCACCTCCCTCCCCTGCAGTGGTCAGTTTTGCATTGGAGGCAAAATAAAAATGAACAACTAAAATGAACACAGTTTCCTAAGAGACTTCTGAGAGTTGTTGGTTGTCACACAGCTACCGTCTTATCATAAAGACAATTGTGTTCAACATTTTCCTGAGTTTGAAACATGTCAAAGCGTGTGTTTTTTTTTTTTTTTTTGCAAACCTTACATAAGAGTCACTGCTGTTTGATTTTTTTTTCTCCTTTGAAAACACAAGAGGAGCATTTGCCTTTTCCACCATACACTAACTGATTCAATAAACTAACATTGAGAGGATTGAGACTGACGTGAAACAAATGTTGTCCTGTCCATTTTCTTTATTGTAGCAGAATGAAATCAGGATTGATGTTACGAGAAAAATTCAGCAAATACATGGTTCTCTTCATAAGGATTAGCTCAGAAATGATCAGCGCCATAAATAAAAATGGAGGATTATGATAAATATATTAGTTATATGAATGGCACTGTGTGATAATACAACCAGACAAGTGCAACTTGACTCAACACAGCTGGTAGCTACACTTTCACGTGTTACATTTTAAATGCTGCTTACAGGATTGACCAACAGCTCTGAGGTCCCACTTGGTTAGCAACACTTGTTAATGCTTGAAAAATTGTCACAATCCTGCAATTGGCTGGTGACCAGTGCAAGCTATACCTCATTTCTTGTCCAAAGCCAGCCGGAATGGGCTCCAGCTCATCCTAAGACCTTAACGGCACTATCGAAAATGGAAAGCTGTAAACAAGTATGATCATAATTTGTATCAAAACTAACCAACCGTCCATCTTACATTTCATTAAGGCATTTCTTAGTGCTTTCCATCATGTAGTGGGTCATATTTTTTTTTTTACACAAATACTTGTTGATGCTGGCGCTCAAGTCCGGGACTGCAGTGCGAGCCTCTGGACCGTATCTGACAGATGAGACATGTCGGCCTGCTTTGCCTGATGTTTCATGTACTCCAGCGTCCGAACCTAGACATAGAATTGGAGTGGGCATATCCGTCATTTGAATTGTAGATATTGTGTGGATTGATTGTTTATTATGTTTTGAAGCCAAGCGACTTCAGCAAGTGGCTATATTTCTTTTCAAAAATGACTAAAAATCTTAATGCGTGTGCTGACCTTTAGACTGTACAGAGGGGTTACGCGGAGAGAAGTCTGGCGTTTACCTTTTGAAATTCAATCTGAAAACAAATCTAAAAATGTCACCCGTTTTGTCTGCGCAACTCACGGAAATGCGTGTCTCACAGTATCCGTGTTTGTGGCTGAGATTCCACAGGTTGACGGCCAGCTGGCTCAGCTTGTTGTTCCTCAGGTCTCCGTGGGCGAGCAGGACGCAGAAGAGAGAGAAGGCAAGAGTGCCTTGGCGCCGTGTGCTCTGGTGCTACCCAAAAAACACAAAACTTTCCGGTCGATCCTTTTCTAAAACATGCCAGCAAGCCCTGTCCTTGCATGTCGGGAGAAGCTCATAACACAGTTTGCGCTTGGTCTCACCTCCTCTCGACCGAGAGACTTCAGGTGGTCGAGGATCTGTCCGATCAGGGTCTCGCACATCTTGTTAATCTCCGACAGGAACTTTGGGTCCCCCCCGTAAAGAGTTTCATTGGAGTCCACTGCAATGTTGAGGGAAAATAACAAGTGCGCTTAGAAGTTTGCGATGATTCAAAGATGAAGCTGTAACGAATAGGTTGAATGGTGTGTGTGTGTGTGTGTGTGTGTGTTTACTTTTTGGAATCGTGTACAGGTATGTTTCCTGACTCATGGCAGCCAGCAGTGGGATGGCACAGACGTACACGCGCACTTTGGCATCACTGTTGTCCTCCCAAGTGTAATCCTGCACCATGTTGAGCACGCCACGGACTAAGTAGAGCACACCGTACTCTGGGTGATCCTATAAGCATGAGAATTTGGAAGAAATTAAATTCCCGTCTACAAAATGAATTCATTGAATTGACACCATTGCGATCATATTAATAAACAACATTTTACACTGTACCAAGCCAGTGCCAAAAGGTAAACAGAGCTGCACTGCCAACAGTGTTAACTGATGAATGTTTTACAGTGTGGTACAAAAAAAAAAAAAATGCATTCTTTAAAAGGTGTTATTACCGGGACAACTAGAAGAGTAGCCAGGAAGTTGTTGATGAAGTCGAGCAGGAAACTCTCCGAAGAGCGAAGCTTCCCTTCTACGCTGATGGAGCGCGGAACCTCTGGAAGAATACTGACTGCTGCCTTTAAGAAAGCATCCGCTGCAGGCCAAGACCGAAGTGGAAAGTCAACAATGTAACTCGAAGTAAGATTTTACGGGAGAATAAGAACACAAACTAAACTACTATTTAGCTTCAGTGTGTAACACAAATGTTGACTTTCTAGAATAAGGGACGCTGCTCACCCTGGGATAAACACTGGTTGCCCAACGCAACCTGACCAGATAGCAGATAAAGGTGAAGACGACTAAAGATGCTGCTCAGGGACGGGATGGTGATGAAACTGTAGGCAGCACACGCCTGGACAACGGGAGGAGGAAACAATCCATCAGATGGCATGAATGGGCTACCACTGGTCTTTCTGGGACAAAAACACTTCGGATGTCAATCAAACTCACCCGGACAAATGCTGCTGTTTTGCGGGAATGATTGCCTCTCATCACCCTCCTGGTCTCCATCGCCAACTGATTCACCGTCTGAATATGACAAGACAAAAGAATGACTATGTGTGTGTGTGTTTTTACACACATACAGTGAAACGCCTGTAAATTGTGAAAAAAAATAAAAAATAAAATAAACTCAGATTCATACGGACGTGAATGAGGTGCACCAGTACTGGCTCCAGGTTACAGAATGTGGCTCTGGCCTCCACGCAGAAACTCAACTGCTGCTCAAAGTCACGACCGAAGGAAACCTGGACACCAGGACAAACAGTTGGAAGGAGAGACAAAACAGTGACCTCCAAAAAGTCTTTAACACCTGTGAAATCACAGAGCGAGGGACAATAATTTCAATATACCCTCAAGGAATAAATGGAAAAATCCTTGGAAGAAAATCTACCTATTTCAACAAGTCAGGTTGACAAAACTGTAAAACGTGAGGTTGCACACAAATAATTACCAATGAAACACAAACCTTGGCAGAAGTAAGGAATTAAAAACAAGAATAGCTCACCACACGCATGAAGCCGATGATCAGCACGGACAAAGATCTTTTTTCATCCTCCAGTGTGAGAGCACTGCAGAATGCCACAGACACAATCTGAATCACTCCCCGAATATACGAAACAATCGGTGATATGTTTTGCCTCACTTGACCGAGTCATGCATGGTCTTGCAGATGTGCATCACGGCGTTGAGGATGACGGGGTCTCTGGTTGGCTCCAGCTGGTGTCTGCGAGTTAACCAGACAGCAAATCCATGAAACCTGTGTGGGCGCCCACCAACTACACTTTTCACAACCGAGAGAGCTCTTACTTGATGAAGACATCCATGATGGACCTGCACACTTCCACCCTCACACCGTCCTTCTGGAACATGTCCAGAAATGGCAAGAAACGCTCCTGGAGGACAAATATCGAACGTGGTGACACTGTTGCATGTCGAGATGTTCAGCCCCAAGTCCAAACTAATTCCTTGCTTGCTGTTCATGTTTCCAATGTTGTTCTCGAGTAAGATTTTGGACCCTCGTATGTCGCTAAACGAAAATATTCAGTATGCTGCTCCGCTGCGAACCAAATCACACGAATAAGCATTGAATTAACACCCTGTGCGTTGCTGCTGCTGCACTCACCATGGAGAAAAGGACTGAGAAGTCGTGGAAGTGGGCGAGGATCTTCCTGATCACAGACTGCAGCTAAGTGCAGAATCAAAGATGGAGTCACTGGAGAGCAAGTGATAAGAGGAAGGTGAGCTGTTGAAAAGAGTACAAACCTGAGCGTAGGCATCCTCAAAAGCCCGGTCGGGAGTCATGTGTTTGATGATGTCTGCTAGAACGGTGTTCACCTCCCGTTTCTTCAGAGTAAACACAAATAGAAACGTTTTCTCGAGAGTTCTTTTTCTTAAGAACGAGACCCATTGGCTTACTGTGAAATTTCGGCAGGTGAATTCCACCCAGATTTCAGCACAGTTGACATAATCCTGTGTGCCAGAAAAAAAAAAAAAAAAAAAAAGGAATCTGTCAAACTTGGTATTTATCATCACGGATTTCAGCACGTGTGAGAACGCAGCATCACGTTACCCGAGGACTGCGGACTTTGGTGATGACCTTCCAGGCTTCGTTGAGGATGGTCAGCCTCTCTGATTCTGGAGGGTCGGCGCAAGCCAGACAGCGACCCAGTGATCCGAATAACAAATGCTAAAGAGGAGATGACAAGATAAGACATCTCTTTTGCGATATTCTCCATAAAAAGGGGTCATTTTATGTTTTCAGGCTCACCTTGGGGAACCCGGCCTCGTCGCAGTCTTTGATCATACCGATGAAATCCATGGCTCTGGTGGCGACAAACTCAGGCCTAAATGCCCTCATGACTGAATTCAACAGCAGGGCACTGTGGGGCATTCGATTCATCTTAATAATCAGAGAAGCATGGAACAAACCACACCGTGCAGATTGTCCATAATACGCACTTGTTACCCAGCTTCTTGCATCTCTCCATCATTTCTGTTAGAAGAGTCTGGAATGGAAACGCACAGGTTTAAAATAATTACCTTGAAACCGACAATAGAATGAGCCGATGAAGACAATGAGTGTGTGCTAATTTTGCGCCACTCCTTTAGCGAGATAAAATCAACATATTACAAAACGGCTCTAAATACAAGGCAGTGCATTTGTAAGCCACTGCAAAGTAAAGATCCACATATTGCTTTTTGACTCGCTGAGTCTCAGTCCACACCTCTGGTGCTCTGTAAGCACTACATTGCAGGATCCAGTTGATCGCGGGCGAATAGAGAGTCAGGTACTCGGGCATCTCCACCCTCTGCGTGAGCAGCTGGCTGCGAACGCTCTCCCCGCTGATCTGACGGAAGGTTCCGAGCAGGTCGAAGAAGTTGCGCTTCAGGCTGTCTTTCAAGCTGGGGGCGACCTCCATGCCAACCTAGGCAGAAAAAGCGTAATGAGTGTTGATATTGTCCTTGCTGAAGGCACTTTCAGAATCAACAGTGCGTTGTATGTGATGTTGATGGCATCTGTGTGAATGTTTGGAAAGATCGGGAAAAGTTGTAAAATTACCCTGCAGAGGTAAGCTCGGGTGTAAACTGCCACCAAAGGGTCTCCAATCCCTCTGATCATGGCGGTCAGTCGTGGGAGAGTCTCCTGAATACCGCTGTAGGGGGTGGAAGAGTTACTCCACGTCGCATTGCTCTCAATCAAATTGAAGCAGCTCACAAATGGCCGTACGGGATCCAAAGACTACTCACGATTTGTTCAGGAAGCGACTGCACTTCAGGATAGAGGCTTCGACGTATCTGCTCACAGACTTTATTAAGGAGGAAAACCCCTGAAGGAACTGTCCTCATAGTATATCACAGTACCGGTAATCACATTTTTGGGGGGAGTGCTTGGGGATACAGTCTAGGTAAGAGTTCTCTAATGGAGGCGATCTTGAAGAACCAGTTGAGGCACGTCTCCTTGGCTGTGTCGTTGACATCGTCGACCGTAAAGGAGTCTGACAAAAAAATCAAAATAAAAAAAGCACAGTTTTGTAAATCCTATTCTGAACCCAATTGTACAATATGTATCACAGCAACCAGTTAGAAAATTAGCAGCAACCAGTGGATGTGGAATCCATACCTGGTAAAGGTCTTGGGTCTGTACACATGCTCCAAATTCTGTCATACACAAGCTGGCCTACACAAAAAACAAAAAACAAAAGTAGGGTGAGTAAAACAATCACAAAGAGCAAATTAATTGAACCAAACGATAAAAAGATTCACTACATACCAAACGTGTCAAGTATGTCAGTGATGAGAACAAACTTGCTGGGGTAAAATTGGATTACGGAGGTGTCGGAGAGAAGCTTGGAGCACTGGAACACAGGTCAGCAGGAATAACCAAAGTCATTCTCAGGATCTATTCATTTCAACTTTATCCCAATTTAACTTTCCATCATTGACACACAAACTAGGATTTACCTGGATTACAATCTTCAGGGCTTTGACCTTCTGGTCCGAGGCCCAGGCCTCTTTCAGGGACTGGTTCAGCTCTTCGATGCGATGAGCATATTCCTGCTGGGAGAGATTGAGCAGCTCTCTCTGGGAACCCTGCATGCACACAAGTACACACAAATGACGCTTTTCATCATTTAAGAAGACACTGAAGGGGAGATATTATGGGAGTTTTTAACTTAGTGTATTGCGTATATTGATCCTTGTTGGATAATAGACAACTATTCAGATGATCAATGCAATTTACTTCACTCATATAAATACATTAATTTGTGACACAAGCAATTACCTCTTCTAGATCATCCAGTTCCTCCAGACGAGTGCGGACCTTTTCCGAGACAGCAGAGGATCCCGGATTCTGGGAATTTCCTGCAAGGTCAGCCAGCACACAAAGGAAAAATAAATAAATCATCATCGTGGTCAGTAAATAAAATACAAACTCTTTCTTACCCGTCTCAGAGCCCATGCATAGATTCTAAAAAAGAAAGAAACAAAAAATTAAATAAGATGGTTGAAACAATAAAATGTATTCCCCGAAGCGCTTATAGGACGACTCACGATCGAAAGTTTTTCAGTGGTGGTGAACCTCGCCAGGATTTCGCCTCTCTTCATGGACCAGGGCTCAAAGTCTGCACCCACTGGCTCGTCCTCTTTCTTCCTCGCATCCTAAAAGCACAAAACCTCAGTTTTGTACGATTTTCAACCCTAGTCCTCATTCATATAAACATTCATCATTCACAATCAATTCAATCCATGATATTGTTTTGAGTGTCTGTCAAAGAAGCAATCAGTGGGGTCGTGTAAAAGTGCAACTGACCCCGGCGAAGGGGACGTGCAACGTAGACGGAGTCTCAGCTGCAAACATGGATAGCGGATCTGTTCCATCCAACATGCAGCTGAGGGGGTCCGGCGCCGCTAAAGAAGAGGAGGACGAAGAGGAGGAGGTGCTGCCCTTGCGAGTTCCACGGCGAGCTTTGGTGTCTGTCACCTAAGGGCGGGTTAACAGAGAGGAGACGATTTATTGATTTACTCTAAGTCCATTTTAAAAATCAAACGTGGCGCTTAGGCAAAAAAAGTTTGCCCATCTGCTCAACACTCTATTCCGCTCTCAATCCAACTGGTCAGCCAGATGAGAAGCAGGCATCTTACCGAAATAGGTTTGAGGGGATGAGAGTCCGAAAATTCAAGTGACGTTGCCTCCAGACGGGCACTCTTCAGCTCAGCATCGTAGTTGCGCCACCGGGAACGCCTGAATGAGAGTAAAGTTGGAAATATTAACCATGACTACATATATGTACATTGTACTCATATAATCGAACAATATATGTCACACAGGATGTTTTTTTTTTTTTTTGCCCAGTATTTGGAGATGCAGAAGAGGCACTAAATAAATGGGCCACTCTATTAAGACATTAAATTAAAACATTCTGATGCGGGTACGTGTGAAGGAGTGCAAAGGACAGCATCGCCTCATTGCATCACATCACTAACATCACATGGAAACTTACTTTTTAAATATAAAAATGTATTGGCATTGCATCGTGGGTTTGGTGAATCTGTCTGTCCCAATTATTTATTTTGGGAATTTGTATTTGACTTCAACAATTTTCTATAGGTTTTATTTCCTACAACAACAATAATGAGAAACGCCTGACGGATAAATTCCAATACAAGAAAGCCACACATCCCACAAAAGAATAACCACAAGAACGCCCACGACATGATCTTGCTTGTGCAGGAAACCCTGACGTCCTATTTCCATTTAAAATAGCCTAATAACTGGTACAGAAACGCAACGTCACTTTGACAATACCAACAAAGAGTTTAAATTGTGGTGTAAGAACAATATTTACATTTTTAGGTCAAAAAGAAGGATCTTACCACATCACCGCGGCCATTTTCAGTGATCACATGACACACTTTACTTCCTTGTTCCGGCCAATGTCGTGCTTTCAGAAGAAGCTTGGAATATTTAATATACGCAATATTTTTATAGATACAACGCATTTCTTTATTACGTGTATTGTATTCGCAAAAAGCTTGGATTGGTTTTATCGTTCAATCGAGCTAAACTTCATTTCCCATAATACACGACGATCACGAGGCACCGTCGAAGCAACCGTAAAGAAAGATGTATTACCATGTGCAAACTTTACGCTCTCTGTTATTGAGAACAGCGAAGAAGAAGCTATGAACAGAAACTGAAATAGCAACCGCCAACAACAGCTACACATCTTTTTAAAATGATATCCATTTTAAAACTGTATCGTGATTAAACTGGATATACAATATTGCAGGTTCCCTTGTTGAGTGGCACGTCTTCCTGAAAAGACGATCTTGGAAGCACCGCGCTGTTTGGTACTGATGTAAAAATTGACGTTTGAGGATCCTTCAAACATGACGTGACCGTAAGGCTGTCACTTGCTCCATATGTCCACACAGTTCATCTGAGCAGGTAACGTATGTCAACATTTACAACATTTGTGTTGTTTAATATGTAAAAACAGACTCAGACAGAGTGATTTAGTGTGTTGTGTGTTGACAGCTAGCATTTGGCTAACACTCAAGCCATAGCAGGTTATTACATACGAGAGCAAAGGTTTCATCTTAATTAGGGGAAAAAATATTCATTTGGTCAGAAAATAAGAGGTAATTTTGATTTCTAGTTTGATATAACTTGTGGTCAAGGTGACTAAATATGAAAGCTGGGGCATGTACCCAATCATCACAATAGAAATACTAACTGTGTATTTATTTTGTTTGAAATAAATCTATTCCAATTGCCATTCGTGTTTACTGGGCAATAATAAACAGTATAATAGTTCTTGTCGGTAATGAAACAAACACTGACATAGAAACAGGAGTTCAGAACATTCAGTGACAGATTCTCCTTGCCCATTAAAAATCAATTTGAAAGAGTTATTCCCAGGGCGACACGTTGCGACAGTTTGTAGAACATCTGCCTCACAGTCGAGAGATTTGCATGTTCTCCCTGCGCAAGCACAGTTTAGGCCACAGTTTACATGCGACCCAAATGTCACGTCAGCGTCCAAAATGAAACACGAGTAGACAGATATGTGCAAAGCGAAATCTGATATACGACAATTAATGTTTATGTCATCCCTGACATTTCATATGCTTGACTTTTCATACTTGTGAACAGAAGTAACAAATTCCTTAATAAGACTTTATTAACGATAATATTTTCATGAAAGTGTAGGGTCTTCAAGGAGCAGCATATACAAAGATTGCCACTTTCTTTGGCCTCGTATAATTAATTGTGTCCTCCTCAGGGGAAAAAAAAAGTCTTATCTATGTAATCAATATGACGTGCCCAGGATCAGGTGGTCCCTTTGTTCATTCTTAAGACATTCACTCTCTTTTGTCCTTCCGTCTTATTAGGTTACCACTTTCCATCCGGACACTAATTTTGTCCCTGTGAATTATTAAATTGCTTACTTTGGGTGGAGGACCTCATTCTCATTCTCTTTGAATGGCAGGTGGCAGGTTGTAGTGTGCTTTCCCAGATCCAGGATCCTTATTTGTCTTTCTGCATCCCCCATGGAAGAGTCACTTGTCGTCCAGCTTCGCTACGAGGAGCTTCTTTTTTACGCCGCCTGTGTTTCTAACTGTTGCTGCGTCTGTTTGTGTGTGTGTCTGGAAGGCAGGGTGTGTGGGCGAGGGGGAGGAAGACGAGGAGGGGGCGGCGGTGGTGGTATGCGAGTGGGCAGCAGCTGGAGGTGGTATCTCTCCCGGGCCATGCGACTAGCACTGGGATGGTGCCGACTGTGCCGTCCAAAGACAGGGGGTCGAGGCAGGGGTGGCCAGCCGCGGCCAAGCGTCGGGCTTGGAGAGTTGTGGAGCTACAGCAAGCTCCTGCTCAAGTCTCTTTACTTCAACAGCCTCAGCAACTCGGACACAGTGCTCGACTGCGCTTTCGAACCCGTGTACTGGATCGTGGACAATGTGACTCGTTGGTTTGGAGTGGTGAGTACTCGATAAAATTAAGATCAAGTCAAACTACTCTAAATGGCTGCGTGCTGAAGTCTCTTGTGAAACCCCTGACATCTTTCATTTCCCAGGCGTTTGTTACACTGGTCATCCTTCTGACGACCTCGGTGGTGGTCATCGTCTATCTGTACGTCCTACCCACAATCATCGGCACCTATGCCGTGCCTTGGAGTGTCTGGCACCTGTGCTGCGGCCACTGGCTCCTGGTCATGGTGGTTTTCCATTACTATAAGGCCACCACCACCTCCCCCGGACACCCGCCCAAGGTACCCTGGTGCTCCTCTTTCTTTCACAAAAATGTAACGGTAGGACCAGTTTTCCCCAAAGATTTTGACATGTTATGATGTTGACTTCTTTTAGGACAACATCCACATTCCCTCTGTGTCCATTTGTAAGAAATGCGTCAATCCAAAACCGGCGAGGACACACCACTGTAGCATCTGCAACACGTAAGCTCTATGTGCTATTATTTTCACGACGATAATTTCAGTTAGATACTTTTTATTTTCAACACTTTAAGAGGTATTCGAGTTTGATTGTTCTCATCAACAATTGGAGGATATCTGGTGGCATGCATGAGTTTGAACATGACGCCTTTCCAATGTCTGTTGTGTCATAATGTCAGCTCTTCAGTAATGTCACTTCTGCTTGAATTCCAGCTGTATCTTGAAGATGGACCATCACTGTCGTATCCTTGCAACAAGCATCTGTGTGTCTACTTTGTTTTATATTCACGTGTTGAACTGAACACACCCCCCAAGCTTGGCTCAACAACTGCGTGGGCCATTTCAACCACCGCTACTTCTTCTCCTTCTGCCTCTACATGACTCTGGGCTGCATCTACTGCAGCGTCAGCAGCAGAGACATGTTCCTGGAGGCCTACGGTGCTGTCGAGGTGAAGAATGTGATGATTGACGCACATCATTGGAGAGTTGCTATGCGGATAAAACAAATGGTGGTATGATGATGAGTAAATATGAGCCAGTAAATATCCAATAAATTCACATGTCCTTCAGAGTTACTATCAGACTCCTCCCCCACCGTACACGTCCACAGAGAGGACTGCCCACAAGAGCATCATCTTTCTTTGGGTGCTGACCAGGTGACTGCACTTCACACCCCCCCATGTCTGCCATACAAACAGAGACGTCATGATGGTACGTGACCGCCTGCTTCCCCGCAGCTCTGTGGCGGTCGCCTTGGGAGGGCTGACCCTGTGGCACGCCGCGCTCATCTGTCGAGGGGAGACCAGCGTGGAGCGCCACATCAACCGCAAAGAGAGCAAAAGACTAAAGGAACAGGGCAAGGTACAGAGAAGCGGTGGGTGGGGCTGGACGTTTATGGAAAAAAATGATAAGCATGATTATTTTGGGGATTGATCTTGAAATCGCTCTTAATAAAATGATCACTGATATAAATGTATGATTGGCTTTCAGGTGTTCAAAAATCCATATCATCACGGGAAGATGGACAATTGGAAGCGGCTGCTTGGTGTGGAGACCCGCAAGTGGGTTCTGTTGCATGTTTTCCCACCTTTCCTGTGCTATCGCGATTCAATGTGGCATATTGGATGGAAGATAATTCAATGGCTGCATTTGCCCACGGAGCCTTAAAAAGCTCACTTATCCTTAAAATGCATACTTCACCTTTAAAACTGCTGCTCAAAGGCTTCAAAATTTCCACATGCCATATTTTGTCAAACCAGCTGACAGCTGAAAATCTGCAAGCAATTCACATAGATCCCACAAGCTGCCACAAATGACTAAATGAAGGTCCTCAATTCACCTCAACTGTTCTGTGGCACCAGGATGCCACCAGATGGCGCCAAAGGATAGGTTCCCCCAAAATTCTGCCAATGCCAAACCATGAATACATTTGGTTTCACTGTAAAGATACCGTATGAAAAATTGTAATCGTTGTGTTCCACATTAACAACCATCCATTTTCTATACTACTTAGAGTGGCAGGTCAGCCTGAGCCCATCCTAGCTGATTATCGGCAACCAGTATCCACTATATTTACTTTTCTTCAAGCACTGTGATATATTATTGATCCCAAATTTGCAAAAGCAGAATTTTTGTGACAGCTCATGTATGGAATTGCTTTCGATTGTTAATGTGTGGGTTCCTGAGGGTGCTCTCTATTTCAGCCAACTTCTCCAAAATGTATTGGATATGTACTGTATATATTTTGTTTTCCAGACAGTGGTTCACGCGTGTTCTCCTGCCCTCAAGTCATCTTCCCACAGGCGACGGCATCACGTGGGACTGCACCTTCTCCAGGAGAGACCCCATGGCCATCTGAGCCATCTACACCTTAAGCGCCATCACCTCGTCTCAAGTTCTCACTATCAGGTCGATGGAGAGGATCTCCCAAAAGCTATGGCCGGTCAGCATTTACTCCTTGGAGATGGTTGGAAACGCTGTGTCGTTTGCACCCTCTAGATGCAATTCAACATCATGGTGGAGGGCAAATAATGAGCTGCATGTTGATTTTGGACCACCTTTGTGCCTAATGCAGCCAGCCTTCCAAAGTTAACTCTGAGACGAACGTGGTTTCTTATTTCTGCATTTCACTTCCACAATCAGCCAGCATATTTTTTTATTGAATGGAACCTTCAAGCAGAGGTCATCTTATCACTTACGTTTTGCTCATGAATTATCTGTTGTGAGAAGGGCAATCTACACTCAGTGGACACAATATTAGGAACACCTGGAGACCATGAATTGGTCGCAAGCCAATCTCACTGGCACATGATAGCATGCATATTTTTGGGATGTGGGATGAAGTTGCAGTACCCTGAGAAAAATGCAAGTAGAGAGAGAATGTGAAAACCTCACAGAAGGACCTCAGCCCAGATTTGAACCTATGGCCTCTCTGTGAGGCAAACTGCTACCCACTCAGACACCACCAATACTGAATATCCAATTAATTTGTTTTAGGCCATATTGCATTTTCCAGGTGTCCCTAATGATGTGGCCACTGAGTCTCTATCAAGTCGGTATTGAGAAATGTCACTGTTCATCTACTGAGAACGTTTGCACACGTGGCACTTTAGAGTGGGGCAACTGGACATAATGATTTTCTCAACAACAACTAATTGCAGTTATTCTGACAATGTATGTGGAAACAATGGTTTGCGTATGTGTGTGTTGTGATGCTGATCTCACCATTATTTGAAAAGTTGTGGTGCCAAATGCAGGGGGCGAATAGGCAACAGAGCACAATGTCCCGTTTCAACCAATTATCAAGACTGTGAATTGCTGTTCTGATACTGACTTTTTTTTTCTAGTGCAGCATACGGTTGCCATGGAAACGAGACTAGTGACAGTGATCTGCCCACCAAAAAAAAAAAGTTGTGCTCAATTAAATCACTGTCCTTTTAATAAAACATTACTGTTCTGCATTTTGATTTGTGACTAAAATGACACCAAATGCTTTACATTGTTTTAATTCATTTATTAAGCATTTTAAATTAATTTCATTGGTTTGACAACAAATAATTATATGATATTGCTGCGTGTTCTAAACGTGAAGGCGGACAATGTTTAACATGACAGAAAACGAACTGTAAAAATACGTCAAGTCGCAAAGCAATAAGGTACACTAAGGCTATAAAAACGGGAGTCAGTTCATTTGGGTAGGTCCATGTTATGTGGCTCATATTTAATAATATCTACTGCATTCATGTTTATTCCCGAGAGCCATGCTCCTTTTCAAATGTTGGGGTGTAGACAATCCTTAAATTATCTTAATTATCCTTAAAGTAGAATTATTAAGTCATACCTTAAGGCCTTGTTCACTTGACACAGACGCTCGACTGCATTACATTCTTCAGAGGACACACATTGAACAAAAACTGTGTGTTGCACATATAAATAAATGCTAAATGATGACGTTGCAGATGTCGGCCCAGATGTCTCAATTGTGCGTTTATGAAAACATGAGGAGTCGCGATGAACCACATTTCAGTAGGAAGGAAGAAAAAAAAATCCGCAATGAAGTGCATGTGAACGTGGGACTCCATCTGTCTTTTGTCGTAGAATGTGTTGGGTCGAAAATAAAAATCACCTTCCTCCAGGACTTCCCAAGAGGAACCTTTGAGAAAGAGGGACATGAGATGTTATGAGGCAACTGCTCAAAAAGAACAGGAACATTCCTGGATTTCGACATAGCCTCATTGATCACCATGGAAAGTCTTCAACTTCGAAAATTCCTCGAACCAAACTAAAGCCAACAAGAAGTGACTGGTAAAGTGTAAATGGACAAAATGCTGTTGAGTGTCAATCTTACCACTCTCCCCGCGCCTGAACTGCCTCTCTCCTCACCAGCCTCTTCTTGTCATCCAGAGGTCTGGCCAAGGCCCGCAGCACTCGGGCCCGAAATGGCAACACCTACGAGTTAAAAGTGACGCTTAGACTTTTACTATGACATGTTTGCACAGAGCGGTCCCTGCTATTCTCAGACGATGTATAGGAAGAAATACAGAAATCGACCGCCTGCGGCCATTACCATTGCCTCCATGATAGAAAACAAAGGTCACTGGGAGAAGCGTAATTATTGCACACATTCTGATGCATTTAGAATATTGTAGTATCATTTTGCTTTGCCACCATTTTGTGGCAATGACAAACATTTTGAAGGAAAGGCGTCAACTTGTAACTGGTGAATCGTCATTATTTGTGGCAGGGCTCAGTTCTTATCCCAAAGTGAATCAGACAAAATGCAGCATAAATTCTTCACCTCATGCTCAGGGAAGCGGGAAAGGGCGTGGATGCACCGCAGCGATGCGATCTTGACATTCTGCAAGACAGCGGACATTTAAACAAACCTGGCTCATGTGCGTGCCTGTGCTAAATGACCGGCTTAATTGACGCTTAAACGCTCCCGGGGGGTCTCGCTAACCATGTTGGGAGCGGATGTGAGGGGCAGCAGTCTGACGACCAAAGCCTCCAGCTGTTGGATGAGTGCCGGTGGTGGGTCGGCAATGACGGGCTCCAGACAGGACAGAGTGGACAGCTGGACGCCCTGGTCTGGATACGTCAGGGCCTCAAGCAACAGCGACAGCAGCTGAATACGCAAACGAAAGTATTTTAAAATCACAAACATCATTAATTATTATTATTATTTTTTTTTTATCTTAACTCACCGCTGGTAGTTCAGTAACTTGAACCTGTTTGGGTAGTTTGTTGACTATGTTGGACAGAGCCTTCAGGTAGTTTGGTTTCTTCTCTGGAGGAGAAATACACAAATCAGGAAAAAAAAAAAAATTCAAGAACAGCACAGTGGTATAGTGGTTAGCAGACAAGCCAGAGAAATGATGTTTTGTGTTTGAATGGTCAAGTCAACAACTGCTAATGAATGTACTGGTAATTCAATATACTGAACCCTTTCAGGGACAGCGGTAACTACAGTGGACAGCTTATCAGTTTATCATTATTTGTGCATGAAATGGTTAATAGTACATCAATCTACATCATAAAATATGACCAATGTAACAACAGGTCCACCTTGGGGGGCCGCGTTGAAACCTTGCACCAGCTTGGCCGAGTTCTCGCTGAAGAAGCGTTGGCGGTACATGATGCGTACGTCTGCGTGACAAGCGCGGCTCAGGACGTCCGCCGAATCACTCATCAGCAGCGAGAAGCCGTCGGCCGCCACGGGGCCCAGATCGGCATCATCAAGCAGCGAGAAGAGCTTAGGCAACATGAGAAAATACAGTTGGCTGAATATACACTGCAGGTCCAAGTACCCGATTCTGCTAAAATGATTTTCACCTTGTCAGTCAGTGCTGCGCATGTTGGGTGATAGCGAAGAAGCAGAGCCTTGGCAACCTGGAGACACGAGCAACTTTGGTCAGATTTTCAGCTGACAATTGACAATACGACACTGGGTTTATATCAACTCAAATTTTCCCATTGAAATGTCAATAATCTCTCCCAGGCACCCCCAAAACAAATGTTTTTAATGAAGGAAAATAGTTCCACCTTAGCGTTGGGTGACTCACCCATATCATGAGGGTGAATGCCTGCATACGGACACTCGAATCTGCTGAGTTCAACTCACTCAAGATTCTGGTCATTGTCTTTTGAAGTCGACTGTCAAGAAAGTCGCCTAAAGAGAAGATTTTTATTTATTTATTTATTTTTTAGTTCAACATGGGTTCAACGACAAAAACTAGCTAATTAACAAACCCGCGGGGATCTTGTTGAGCAGGCCGGCAAAACACTTAGCAGCGGAGGTGTATGACATCACGTGGCTGCACGTGCAACTCATCTCTTCCAGCTCTGAAAGCAGGCGCTCCATTTGGGGCACCGCCGCCTAAAAAAAACAAAGACAACTTTTTGTCACAGAACGTTAAAAACAAGACTGTCGCTGATTTGCAGACTCACAGTGCGAGGTAGCGAACACACACATCCCATCAGCAGACAAACCATCTGAGATTGCCTCCAAGAGTCCCCATGCTGCTTCGGGGAAGAACAAACAGTGACACAAGGAGGTGTTATAAAGTCATCGACTGACAGCGTACAGGCCCTTCTACAATATACATTCGGATACTTCCCGCTATTACAATCCAATCAAAACCAGGTGCATACATTTGCAAGCAGCTTTATTTGCGAAGGGAAGGAGTTGCCGGGCAAAAAGGAGACGTCACCGTCCAGGAAGAGCGACACAAACCGCACAGCTGTCTGGCCCGCCAGTCTAAAAATAACGAGACGAGGAACCACAACAGGAAATATAAACCTTGTGAGCAAGGTCCGACGGGAAATAAACAGTGAGAGCAAACTTGGCAGCTTGTGTGACATCACAATGTACGACAAATCACAAAGCAGACAATGTTGCTTTGAAATAGAATTGAATGTGTGATGATCACTAACTGAGTCTAATTTGGCTTGTCAAACAGGTGTTTGTACTCACGTCGGTTGCAGCCTGGAGCAAGCTGTACTGATGACGCCGACCATGGTGGACAGAACCGCCTCTTGTGTCAGAGGACTGTGGTGAGCAGATGAAATCTCGCCTAAAATGGCAGCACAATGTCAGAGACACAACATGAAATTCACCTAAAAAAAAAAAAAAAAGTGTCACTTCGCCGCGATGCCCCGGTGGAAAATAATTGTGGACTCGCGCACCCTTAAGTGCGGCTTGCAGCGCTAACGAAAGCAGTCGCGGGACGATGACGTCGTGGAAGCATCGTCCGGAGTCTTCGGTGTCTTCGACTCGCTCGGCTATTGTCTTTAAGCTGCTGCACGCCAACACCGCCTCCTCTGACGAGAACCCAAGTTCGCCTGAAACAAGACAATGGAGGGGGTACACATTCCAACATGGTTCCAAAGTAAAACAACAAAAGCTGTGGAGTTGAAACCGCTTTAGTTTTGTTTGACATGAATAAGATGGCAAGCGCTTTCTTGACAACGTCAATAAACATTGGGATCCCTGAATAAAATTCCAGATATTTTAAAGTGACTTTAAAGGATTTTTTTTTTCTTCAGAAATATTGTTTACATTCTAAAATGTACAAATTTAGCTGCAGTTCGAGGGTCCATGTATCAGGAAAAAGGATGAGGGGCTCACCGGAATGTGCTGCACCGAGGACTTCCAAGAGGACGGGCGTGCTCTCCTGAGCGACGCTGGGCTTGATGGAAACCGCAGCTAACACGGACAAACAGCGCTGACGCACGGCCGGCTGCGTGTGTTGCGCGGAATCTCCATCTTGTTGTATCGACTCTGAGCATGGGGAAACAAACGAAAATCACGAACAGCAAAAATCAGCGTGTCTGACACTCCTCTATAAATGGTTATGGGGTGTCTTACCAGAAAAGATCACTTTCTTTATCCTCGGGATCATATTGGTGATGAAAACGGTCGGGTGCAGTTCTGCCAAGCCGCCAGCGCACGAGATCACGGCAAGACTGATGGGAGGAGGAAAAACAGTTAACGTCATTTGTAAGTGGAGAGAAAAAAAAAAGACAACGGAAATGTGAGCTGACCTGATTGTGTCGTCTTCGTCTGACAGTACCAGACGAGCCAAATGATCGACAGCCAGCTCGATTTGAGAGTTTGATAACAAACCTAAAAAAAAGAAAAGAAGAAAAATATTGGCTTGGGAGTGCATACCAAATCTGGTGAGGGGAAACGGTCCCATTTCAGACTTCACCGCATCTCACCTGCTTGTCGCGCTAGAGAGATGAGCACGGACATGGCTGTGACCTGCAGGCTGCCGTTGGTCTCTGACAGAGCTGCGAAGGTGACGCTGCACAAGGACGGACAGACGGCTGAAAGCACAAGCTCTTCTAAGGGACACACAAATAGGGAGATTTTCATTTTTTTTAAGGATTGTAAATCTCAGTTAAATGCCGTTTGTTTGGCTCAGTGGTTGATGCAGTGGAATTGAAGGCAGCTTACATCCTTGAAGACATATGACATTTTGAAAATGCCTCTACTATGTTTTGTGGAAAACTGTTCCAGAGTGTTTTTTTTTTTTAGTTTTAAATAAACGAAACAAAGTTGCTAATTATTTATGACCTCATGCCCTAAAAGTCCTCGCACTCACCGTTTTCTGACGACTCGCTGCTTTTTACAGACTGAACGAACCGCTGCATCACCTCCAATAACGTCCGTCGATGGGAACACTGCTCAAAACAAAACGCAAAGAGGCGATGTGACGGAAAGCAGCATCGACCAAACGGTACAAACCACGTCGGGGTACCTACCTGGTTTTTGCTGTTGTACTGCTCGATGAGCGACGGCATGACAGCTGCTACTATGATGTGACTCGCCCTGTTGGAAGCGCTGCAGGCAGCCTGGAGTAGCTTCGCGGTGGGCCACACTAGCTTCAGGTCGGGCTCGCAGAGGTGATGCTTGCAGTCTGGAACAATGCCACGCTCTCATTAAATAATTAATCAATAATATCAATTAATTACCCAAGCCCTATGTCTTAGTGTGAGAAAGTACAATAAATCACCGTTGAGAACCATCTCCAGGAAGATGCTGAGGGCATCTTCAGAATCTGAGCTTAGAACCGAGCGAGAAAGACAGGAAGTGATGGCGGTAAGAGCAGCGAGGCCCGCTGACTCGATCCTTTCACTCGATGTTTGGAACACCTGTGGTGAAGATTAAAAAAAAAAAAAAAAAAAGGGAAAATAAATGACAATAATAAATATGTGGAGAAGGCTTCCGAAAGAAACTTGATACTGTACATTGGAAATAACAGACCTCTCTGCGCAGTGATGCCCACAGTCCCTCAAGGAATCCTGCCAAGTCCTTGTGTTCATACCATGCCACGCAAGCAGCCTAAAAAAGATGAAATGAGGGGAGCGGTACAACATCCATGTCGTTAAAAGACTTCTCTGAACGACTTTAATGCTGTGACGATGCTCTTGGGAGACGAGTGAGATTTCTCACCAGGGTCTGAAGAGAGTCCAGCTTTGCACTCTGAACGTCAGAGTCCAGCTTCTCAATGATTAGGGGCAGCAGAAACTGAAAAATAGTATATATATATATATATATATTTTTTTTGTTATAAAAAGGAGCCTCACTGGTGACCGCAAAGAGAGGCTGCGAGAGGACATTTTAATAAATGGGAGGTCTATAAC